CTTTCATAAACTTGCATTTGTGGATCAAATATTCTGCAAGCAAAATAATGAAGTTGCATAGAAAGTAAACATTTCCATATTGCTTCTCACAAGTGAAAGATCCAAACAAAACAAAGCTCAAAGTCATTGTGTATGAAGTTTACAACGAACTGGCAAATGCCTTGCCAAAGTTTTCTTGAATGAACACAATGCCAAAAAAGATGCAAGACAGTTTCTGGTTGTGAGTCACAGAACGTACAGTTCACATCTGTGCTTAATTAGAATTTTGACACAATAAAGGTTTTAACAGGATAGTATTGCTGAATAACCTAAGCTTGTGTTTCAGGAACGCCAGCTGCAGTTCTCCTGCTCACCTGCGGGGGCGCCTGCTCGTGTTTCTGTCCGAGCAGGAGCTGCTGGACTCCTGTCGTTACTGGCTGTGTAATCTGGCTCTGGCCTCTCAGATCAGCCTCTTCATCTTCATCACTGTGCAGGTGCTCCTGCTGGCCTCTGTCATCCTCTTCCTCCTGCGGTTTGAGCTGCTCAGCCGAGAGGTGCGGCACGACGCAGAGTAATGAATGCGTCATGTTAAAAGACAGGAGCCTTTAGGACGAGACGGTCACAAACCAGAGCAAAACAAACAACTGTGTTCAGTTTCATTTATCATATTACATTTTCCTTTTAAAGTTATCTGCTTTTTAATGCTTTTTTGCATACATTTTCCAGGCATGCAATAAAAATGCTGCATGCAGTTTAGACAACCAATGGTAATGTTTACTGTAAAAATCATCCTAATTGGGGAAAATAAGGAATAAATGCCTTTCTTTTGTACTTTCTTTGCAAAAAATTACCCTCTTTTGTAAACTTGATCCAATGGTCACAATGAATTAAAAACAATTTTGGTGCATATTTACAGGTGCATGTGTATGTGTTCTTGTTATTCATATCCTTTTCTTTTTATTGCTTCAATAAAAACAAAAACACACAAAAGCACAAAAACAAAGCGCAATATTACATTATTATTATTATTATTATTATCATCATCATCATCCCTTTTATTGTTGCTATACTTAAAGGGGTGGGTGTTTTTTTTCTAGGCTTGATTGTGTTTATGGGGTGCAGTCTAACGTGTGTTAATGCTTCGTTTGTTAAAAAACTCATTATTTTTCACATAATTTACCTTTATTCCACACCTCTCTGTCCCTTTCAGCATATTAGAATGATTTCTGAAGGATCATGTGACTCTGAAGACTGGAGTAATGATGCTGAAAAATCAGCTTTGCTTCACAGGAATCAATTACATTTGAATGTATATTAAAATAGAAAAACGTTATTTTACATCATAATAATATTTCACAATATTACATGTTTTCCTGTATTTTTGATCAAATAAATGCAGCCTTGATGAGCAGAAGAAACTCCTGTAAAAAAACATTAAAAATCGTTCTGATCCCAAACTTAGTTATATTATTTTTATTATTATTTTATATTATTATTATATATATATTATATTATATTATATCAGGTTTTGAAATGTTTCTCGCTGTGAAAATTCAGTTTTGACCGCAGGGAAACAGCACATAAATGTAGATAATGATGATGATTTATAAACTGATAAATAGATGAAAGAACAAATATGATCACTTCACTTGAAGTATTCTTAATACATTAATTATGCCTTGTAAATTATGCCTTGTAATGCACCTTATAATGCATTACATGATCTCATTAATAATTGTAACTGCAGTTTGAATGCATTATAATACTCTATTTGACAACTTTAGAAAGTATAATGTATTAAAACACGTAATGAGAATGGAATCTGCAAATATTAAAATGCATTTGAATTTTGGATCATAATTATGTATGAAGATGCACACATACGTTATGAATACCTATTGTACATAAAGGCGATGTTACCATGTTCTCATTTGGATTTGAATCGTTTTGGTTTGATTCACATAGATCCGATTCAGTTCACTCGTAAACTCTGTTTTTGCCGTTCCTAATAATGTTATCGATTGGCTGTTGGTTTTGGATTCGGGGTATAATTCTTCATGTGAATTGCGGGAGGCTCGTCTGAAGTTGCCGATCCTGGCGGAGGAGCAGGTCATCATGGAGGCGGTGAGGGAAAAACAGTGTGTGGTGTTGTGTGGAGAGACGGGCAGCGGTAACGGCATACGCCAGGTAATGTCAACCGACGAGCCCTTGCCTGTATGTGAGCTGTGCCGTCTGTCTCTCATTGTTTGCTTCTCTGTTTCTCAGCTCTGGTGGCATTATTGGTGTGACGGAGCCCAGGAGAGTGGCGGCGATCAGCATGTCTCACTGTGTTGCCACAGAGATGAATTTACCCAGCGGGTATGAAAGAAATCAGCTACTTGTGGACATACAGTGATGTTAGCTCGGTTAAAAGGTGTTGTTAGGCTCGACATGACCATATCAAACATATTAAAATCACTGTGCCAAACAGCCTTGAGTAGCCTATTGCTTGTATAATAACAGATTATATTGTTAAATATATGATCAGACTCAATATAGACAGATTATTGTTATTTCTATTAATAATCATCATTATTATCGCAATTATTCATTAATCTAAAGTTACGTTGCAAATATTCAGACTTGGCACATATATAATTCAACACAAGTTTATGCATTTTTCATCTGAGCATGAGTCATATTGAGACTTTAGTCTTTGCAACTTTACAGATCTTCTTTATGCACCAAGAGCTTGTAACACTCCAAAGAGAAAGGAAAAATTGAAATCGCATCATATGACCCCTTTAAAACCATTTTTTAGCTGCTGGAAATACTAGTGTTCTAATAATTTTGGTCACCACTGCTGCTTGTTTGATGATGCATCTGCTTTCTCTTAATGTCCCTGTCATGATGCATGTTTTTGCAGGATTTCCTGCTGCAGAAATACAGCGTGATCATCATAGATGAAGCTCATGAGCGCAGCGTTTACACTGATATCCTCATCGGCCTCTTGTCACGCATCGTCCCACTCCGCAACAAGGTAACACACATGAACATCAGGTTAAAGCTGTGTGGTTGGCATGTTTATAATGCGATCTGTGATTCACAGAAAGGCTTACCCATGAAGCTGATCATCATGTCGGCAACGCTGCGTTTGGAGGACTTCACTGAGAACAAGAGACTCTTCCGAACTCCTCCACCGGTTATCAAGGTGTCTGATTTGTTTACATTATTCTTATTGTTCATGTCATTATCACACGTCACGTTGGCATGAAGTAGGGTCCTATAAAAATCTGTATTTTTTCCCAAATTGCATGGTACTTTTTTTTTTTTCAAATTCAGTTGTTTAAAGCTGCAGTCCGTAACTTTTGGCGCTCTAGCGGTTAATAAACAGAACTGCGTGCGTCTTGAGGAAGAACATTGTATCCGGAGCTACTTCTCTCTGTTTTTGTCTATGAGGAATCACGCAGGTACTGGGCTACTCCGCAGCGGTACCTACCCGAACCAGTCTAAAATAATCCGCATATAAACACGTATTATAGGTGTACCGTAGTGATTCAGGACAAGCCAAAAACACAGTTTGGAAAATGGATTCATGGTGTACTCTTTTATTATATACATTTTGTAAATTTTGAACACAAAAAAGTTATGGACTGCAGCTTTAATATTTATTTTAATTTGAGTAATTTTAGTAATCAAAAAGTATAACTGAAATCATGAAACTTATACAGTTTAACAACAATTGATTAATAGTTGATGAATTCCGTTTTTCCCTCGTTTTTATTTCTTTATTTTTCTTCGTTTTTATTTATGTCTGTTGAAATTTTTCTGGATTCAGTTTTTTCCATTTTTATATTTCTGGATTCCATTTTAATTGTTAAATGTAATTGTAATCAAAACACATGTCTAATTATTGAAAATAACGAATCAATTTAACCACAATTTACACAAGTTTAACAAAAATTTAATTTTTAGGCACCTATGCAATCCGTTTCATGTTTTCCCAAATTCCATTTTGTGTTCCTCAAATTCAGAGTTTTCCATTTGAAGTTTCTTGGATTCCATATGCTAAATTATGAATAATCAAAAAGCATGTCTAAAACTTAATAAAAAATAATTTATTGCAATAATTATTACAACTATATAATTTTTTTACAATTATAGAATCCTATGAAATGTATTATTTTTTCTGAAATTCTGTCTGTTTTAATTTTTCTGGATGTATGATTTAATACAAATGTATAATCAAAAACGGTAGTAAACTAATTAAGGCATCAGGTGTGTATTCTGCAGATTACGATAAATTAAACATATTTAAACATCAGGAAATGTTCTGTAGGTCATCAAACTAAATCATCTGTGACTTTCTTAATTGGAAGTTTAGTTTAAAAATAAAAATCAACCTAAAAATTGAAAAGTTGTTTTTAGGTCGTCACCAAAAAAAATAAAAACAACTCTGAAATGTTCTGGGAATGTTATTTTATGCTTGTAAAAAAAGAACTTTAAACAATATTCTTGGAACATTATTATGGAATTCCCAACAAACACTATCAGGAACCAAAGTCAAGTCAAATCACCTTTATTTATATAGCGCTTTTAACTATGCAGATTGTGTCAAAGCAACTGTACAGCATTAATTAGGAAAATAGTGTGTCAATAATGCAAAGTGACAATAGTAAACACTCATTTTTCAGTTAAAGGCAGATCATCATTGAATTCAGTGATGTCATCATCCAGCTCAGTTCAGTTTAAATAGTATCTGTGCAATAAAGTCGACAATATCGCACACAAATTAAGTGTCCCCAGCTAAGCAAGCCAGAGGCGACAGCGGCAAGGAACCAAAACTCCATTGGTGACAGAATGGAGAAAAAACCTTGGGAGAAACCAGGCTCAGTTGGGGGGCCAGTTCTCCTCTGGCCAGACGGACCAGCAGGTTGATCCATGCTGCAGCAAAGTTAGATTGTGCAGAGGACTCAACTGGTTCCTGTGGTCTTGTCCCGGTGGCCGTCTAGGAGACAAGGTCTTCACTGGGGATCTGTCTCTGGGGCTCATCTAGTTGTCCTGAATACTGAATACCAACTACTAATATTAGGAGAACGTTCTGTTTAAGACACTTTTATATGCAGATAACTTCTGTTATGATCAAGAAAAATAGTGTTGTCAAATATGTATATGTGTGTATATAGGTGGAGGCCCGTCAGTTTGCGGTCACGGTTCATTTTAATAAACGCACACCAGTGGACGACTACACTGGAGAAGCTTTCCGTAAGAGCTGCAAGATTCACCGCATGCTGCCGCCAGGTCGCTTAAACACACATAGTAGCAAAGATAAATGATATGCACAGATGCATGCATGAATGCAGGGGTCTAAACATGTGTGTTGTTATAGGTGGCATTCTGGTGTTTCTGACGGGTCAAGCGGAGGTTCATTCTGTGTGTCGCAGACTGAGGAAGGCTTTCCTCAGTCTGCGCAGACCCACCAGACCCCCCCCTTACAGACCCCACCAAAAGCACACAGGTACACAGACACATCTCACACAGCAATGTTATGCTTAACTAAAAAAAATCACTCTATTGAGGAATCGCTAAGTAGCTATTAAAAACCACATACACGGTACATTGTCTTTTTTGTATCTAAATGTTAGTTAAAATCCCTTAAAAGGTTAAGCAGCCATCCCAAATATTAAAAACTGAAGTGTGTGTTCTTTCAGATTCAATTGAAACAGAAGAAGATCTGAAGAAGTCAAAAAGAGCAAAGAAAAAGAAGAACGTGGTATGATGACACTCATCCCAGCTAACAAACATTTATTCTAAGAAGGTTTTGCTTACGTTTCTATTAAGTTATGAATACATTATTTCTGAATTTTCTTTGAACGTTTAAAAACATCCAGTTTTTTAAATGTTTGAAGGGTTTTTGTTTGTTATGCAAACGTTAAAGGAACATTCCGTTCGCGAACATTTTGCAAACATTGTGGGAGCGTTAGTTTTGAATGCTCTCTGAATGTTCTGA